CCTTGCAGATCGCCACTATCTACAGCGCGACCTTCCAGCAATTCCTGGCCGTGCGCAGTCTGTTCGGCCTCTTCATGGGCGGTGTGTATGGCAATGCCATCGCCATTGCGCTGGAAAATTGCCCCGTGGAAGCGCGCGGGCTCATGTCCGGCGTCCTCCAACAGGGGTATTCGATGGGTTACGTCTTCGCAGCATGCGCCAACCTGGGCGTGGGCGGCTCGACGGAATCGTGGAAGACCGTCTTCTGGATCGCAGCTGGCCTGTCGTTCCTCGCTGGGGCTCTTCGCGTCGTCCTCCCGGAATCCAAACAGTTCCGCGACGCGAAACGGGCCGGGACACACCGCAACACGTTTCCGGGCGCCTTCTGGCGCGATACAAAGTCCATGCTAGCCAAGGAATGGCGCTTGGTGGTCTACTGCATCATCCTCATGGCCTGGTTCAACTTCTACAGCCACACGTCGCAGGATAGCTATACAACTTTCGTGCTCACGCAGAAGGACCTAGATAATAGCCGCGCCAGCCGCGCCAGCATTTTGATGAAAGTGGGTGCTTGCGTCGGCGGCACCATAATAGGTTACATGTCCCAATTCCTCGGCCGTCGGCGCTCCATCATCCTGGCCGCGCTGATGAGCATCCTGCTGATCCCTGCCTGGATCCTCCCGGAAGGCGAACACAGACTCTCCGCATCGGCGTTCTTCATGCAATTCTTCGTCCAGGGCGCGTGGGGCGTGATCCCCATCCATCTCAACGAGTTATCCCCACCAGAGTTCCGCTCCAGTTTCCCCGGCGTCACGTATCAGCTTGGAAACATGATCTCATCCCCGTCGGCGCAGATTGTCAATGCGATCGCGGAGGCGAATTCTATCCGGGGAACGCAAGGGGAGCCGGAGCCGGCGTATGGGCCGACGATGGGCGTTGCGACGGCGATTTTTGCCGTGGGTATTGTGGTTACGACTATGATTGGGCCGGAGAAAAGGGGGAGGAATTTTGAGCAGGCGAAGGTAGCGGGAATTATAGAAACGGCGTTTGCTGGGGAGGTTAATGCTAAAGCTGTTGAGGCCGAGGATGGGGTTGTGAAGGAGATGGAGAAGAAGTGATGTGATTTTCGAAGGAAGTGAGGAGAGTTTCTTAATAATAAATGAGCAATGATATCTTTTTATTTGATAAATCGGGATAAAGTAGAGAAAACTACAATTTTTTTTCCCCCTTCTTTTATTGATTGCACAGCAATGCTGAGCATATAAGCTACCTCTGCGAACACTGCGCAAATATGTTTCCAAGAAGAAATAATCTTAGAATTTTAAGCACATGAGGGGGTAACTTAAGTCTTCCGCAGAATGGGTTAGAAATGGGGACCAACTTAGGGGCTTGGCAGCTACTACCGCTATCTGATACATATGTAGAATATATTCTTCCTCATGTTTTTCCCTTCATCTTTTCTCTGCTCTCTCTCTCTTCTCTTTCTTTCCTCAGCGATTAGAAACTGTGAGGGAAAGCTGGACAGTGTGGAGAATGAATAGTTGAAGACGGGGATAGATAGTAACAATAGGAACAGTAAACACAACTTGCAACTAATGCTGAGGAGAGAAGAAGAGAAAAGGAAATCGTAAGAAGAATCTATGTCTATTCTATCTTCTACTGTTTGTTCCCACGCTGGCTATCTTTCCTCGCAGTTTCTAATCACTAAGGAATGAATGAGCAGAGGAAGGAACCTCACGTCAGAAATTGACGGTAACTATACAAACTTATTAAAATTGCCTATCTTTGACGCGTAGGCGCCAGCTTACCGGAACAGAGTATATTCTGCTTGCCGTTGAAGCGTTGCCGTTGAAGTAGTGACATAGAAGTGCAGCAGGTAGGCACCAAGAAGAGGAAAGGCCAAAGGCCGAAGAAGAATGAATAACTATCTAAAAGCATATCATCATTGACGAAGACCTATATCGGTGCGCACTCCGAAGGGGGCTTGACTTCATATACAGGCATTGATATCCAAGCATTGGCTGTTATGATGCAGACTTCTCAAAGCTGGGATGAACAACGAATGAGAAGTCGGCACTTATCTCAGGAGACGTTTCGGCTAAGTAGAGCGAATGTATGTACAAAGGTGGATGATATGACCGTGTGCTGTATTTCGTGTTTTCTCCACCCCGATTAAACCAACACCCTGGAGATTATGCTCTTAGCAGAGGGCGGAAAGCCGAGCATTCGTTTTAACCAATGCACCGCACTTGTCGGCAAACAAGAGGGCAGATTCCTTGCAAAGAAAGCCCGAGCAAACAGGAACCATGAACTCCTTCCCATACATGTCAAAGCCATACTATTTTTGCCCTGATTTAATTATCATATTTGAAAGGCCTGGATAAGGTCGTAGTTACCCTGCTGTTTCATGCATGAACACTCGCAGCCAACTAACCCAACCTTGCCTCAACAGGAAGATGCGCGCGCAGGCATATCTGCTCTTCAAAGCTCTGATGTTCCTGAAACGGGAGGGAGACAGTCAATAGCCATTGATTGTTTCATCGTATTTTCTCCTTGGCCATACCCGCCCTGGGAACCCCGTTGTGAAGATCATCGTTCCTTTAGTTAAGCAAGATACGAGGCCCTGGTTGATGGCGATTTATCGATCGCACGATGCGGCTTTCGTTCTTCAAGAACACCCGAAATATATTGTAGCATCGGGACAAGCGGGACCTGTTCACTTTCCTCGTGTCCAGGGGACAGCCGCCAAAATGGGATATTTCATGAGAAATTGAACATTACGATCGAGGCGTTTTTTGAATCTAAGGATATGTCTTTCCCTTGTGAGTGCCTTTTTTTTTTTTTTTTTTTTTTTTTTTGCTACAGTGTGGAGATTCCTTTTCGGCTTCTTTTAGTAGGGGTTGGTCCCACTTTGGCAAGAAAATGAGGTTCGATACGATGGCTTTTGTCTATCTTGCCCATTTTGTCGCGAATAGCTTCATGAGATGGAATTGAAGTTGGGGTTAGTTTGAGGCAGAGTGTCGTATATGTCTTGGATATCATGATTTGAAGGGCGGGAAGAGAGTCGGGATGGAGTTACACTGGCTGCTCCAGTGTTGAGCAACAAGCTATATAAGGATTCCTCTTTCACCCTTGGAATCAGCATCTTCTCATCAGAAGCAGTAGCAGCAGCCACAAGACAAGACCCTCAGTTGGTTGAAAATGGAGCGCCATTCTTGTCTCAAGAGGCAAGCACCTCCTTGATATCTCGCATCTGAATTCCAACGCGTTCTACTCGGTCCAAATTGTATGAAAGCAACAAGGTTTTTTCGTTCAGTCGAAAATGTTACCCCACCTCCTCCCCTACCTCGCTCTCACGGCAATCCACCTGTTCTCAGGTGTAAACGCGGCGACAATCGGGACCTTTCCCCAAATACAACGGCAACAATCTCGGTTCAACCATGAACATTGTCAAGCGTGAGCCCAACCCGGAACCAGGCAGAGACTCCGAATTCGACTTCGACTTCGATGATGACGGCGACATTGATGACTATGACCTCAAGCAGCTCAGCCCCGAGGAACTCGAAAAAGCCTTCAGGCTCATGAGCGAAATCCCGGACAAGGTGCTTGAACAGGGTTCCGATGCGATGGAGAAGTGGCTGAGAAAGCACAAAGGCCAATCGAAACCGATCTCCGCCCGTGGGTGGACTGATCTGTGGAATGTTACCAAGTGCGCCGGTGCCATTGTCTATTTTATCGTGGAGAACTGAGGCGTGCTGGCCAAGCTGGGCAAGTTCAAGAAGGCCATTGATGATGTTGGCAGTTACAAGAACGCTGCGAAACTGCTCCTTAACCGCGGGAAGGGCAGTCGGAAGAAGAAGTCCCACCAACGCATGCAGAAACTCGCCGCCGAGGTTATTGGCGTGGCTGTCATCCAGTCATACTGTACCTAAGTGGTTGACTGAGGTGGTATTTGGAGGATTTTGGCTCCCGAAGGAACGTGGATGATTGCACCTGGGTTTGTTTCATAGGAAGGTGAATTTGGTGACCTCTTTTGAATACCCCTATTTGTTTTCAAAACACAAAACTTGCACACTTGTGTAAATCCATGAATGGATGATATCTGTTGACTCAGCCTAAAACGCTTGCCGGTAAACGCGTTATAGAGAGAATACAGAGAGGGGGATATACATGGCTGATAGAAGAGTATATATATTACGAACGCAATTGTGATGTTACATCACCTTGATTCATCTTGAACCACTTTTGATCAAAGGAAAAATGATCCAGCTGTCCAAAATTCCAGATTCGCAGTCTTGGAGCTCTTTGACCAGGTTTATAATGTTGACACGCGACGGAAGTTCCCCTTGTAGAACTCGCCCTCCATCTTCCATAGCTTCGCGCAAACATGACCTGCTCCACTCTGCTCCATTGTAAACTCGCTTTTGCTTCTCTCTCGGATGAAGCAGAGTCACTTTTTGAAGAGCTCTGGCCCTTCCCACGTATTATTTTTTAAGAAGTGGCTTCGAAAGCCGCCAAGACTCAGCTTTGAGGAGGAATCTGACAGTCAAAAATGAAAAGAAAGGATCAAAATTCATCCTGTTGACATCCTTGATGTCCTATGGTTCGAACTGTCAGATGATCAGTAAGATAGTGTCTCTTCAGATCAAAGCCTGGAACCTTGGATGATAAGTTAAGAAACGGGGAATTTCTTTCTTTTTGAAGGATTGTGGCACTATTAAAAATGATTTTTGTAAAACCGCGAAAGCGAAACTTCCGATTGCGACTTGGAAGATAGAAAAGGCGCCATCCGGCTGTATGAGGAGTGACCAAGTATCAAGCCTACTAGCAGAGCGCAATGGCAGGAACTCAGGGCGATGCTCCCTGAGAAACGGCGTCCGAAACGGGACCAGTAGAGCCAAAAGAATCTCAGTTTCTTCCTTTCTTTTCTGGAACCACAACCTAGTACAATCGTTTAAGGCCCGAGGGCAAGTTGACTAATCATGATTTTGTTTGGTGTGGGGGTGGGGGAGATATTTGTCATCGTCTGTTTGGACCAGATACTGTTCACTCTCACAAAACTCCGTCCGGCTTGGGTACTATTCGCAATCCTATTTTGGCCTGGATACAACCTTTGAGTGGTTCCTAAGTCCGGTTGTACAGTGCGTTGTTGGATTTTCGGTTGGAAACCACACATGCTCCACCAGCAGCGATATCCGTTGGGGGTGACATGAGATTCACACGGCGAGATTCATCGAACCACGATAATCAAAACGTCACCCAATCCACAATCCGGGTAGCGGTTGTGCTCTGCGTGATACGCCGGCCTGAACGCTGGGTCGACATAGCAGTAACGGATTTCGATGGTTAACGTTCTGAGTTTTATTCACCGTGTTTGACTCCACCGTCTACTTCTACTCTTAGACTCTAGACTCCGTAGTTGAATCTGTATCTAGACGGTAAACGTTAGAACATACTTGAGTAAGAATCCATGCAAGCAGAAAGTATATATCGCGGTAATCGTCGGTTGGAAAGCTTAAACCGTGAAAAAATCACAGGTGACTGCTGTTGCAGCAGGGAAATGTCGGCAACCAATGAGGAGACGGGATGGAATATCCAACAATCTGACGGCCAGAAGCAAATCCCCCCAGACCCTCGATAAGCGAAGCTTGAAGTTTGAGTCTTAAGAAGCTTGTAAGAAGCTTGCTTGAGTTCCTGACGACCCTCAAATAAACTGTGGCTGGACAAGGTCCCTGTGAACAGTATTTGAGGCAAAATGAGTACGGAGTAAGCAGACAAGAACTTGCATTATCTGTTGGGCCACACATATTCTCGGCGTATACATTGCGCGATCCCTTGACTTGCGGTGGCATGTACTGTATTGAACCGGAGCTTGTAAGGACAGAACAATAGTGTACAGGATAGTACTATGTATGCATGCAAGTATGTGGACAAGACTCATGATGATGTCGGTGGAGTCCAGCGGGCGTTATGTTAGCAAATGTTTAGCTATTTACCCCGCAATAACGATAGACAGCTGTAGCCTGTAGATCACCTTCGAGGAATGCGGTGTCGGAGCTTTCGCTGGTCCCTCCTCCGTTCTAGTAGGAGGACCTCTATGAAGAAAGTACTGAAGAGTGCACGCCGCTCAGCTGGAGGGGAGGGGCGCCAAGGTGTTCCAAGGTCGTTGCGTGCGGTGGTTCGTGCGAGGAAGCCTTGGGATATTTGTCGTGCAGCTCGCGATTTCGAGGCAGTTCTTTTACCTGCCAAGGAGGTACGGTGTGGTTGGGCGAAACTTTACCTGGACAACAGCAAGAATCCTTCAGCATGTTTACAAATAGTATCCAGCAACTTCAAGGGGACTGGGGATCGGGATGTGGTTTGATCCGGGCTCCGAGGAACCCGCGATATTAGCATAGATACTCCGTAGATATTTGGCTGAGGGGATTTGGCGCCGAATCGGTCCAAAATGGACCGTTGTCCAGAACAGCCTGGAGAATAACAATCTATCCGATTTGCTCACCGCCACACTTGGCGGCTACACACAGACAAAAGATGATGCAATATGGCACTTCGTTTTTGGCTGCATCCCATCTGGCTACTGCGCACGTGCCCAACCATCATGTGCTTTTTTAATTATCACCGAGCCATTAAGGGGAAAGATGGAAGCGCTGCATACATGCATGCATGAACGGGATATTTTGCTCTGCCTGTTAGTTGGCGTTGTTTTCGCATGCTGTTGCTGCTCCGCGGTTGGTGTAATGGTTGTTCCGAAGGCATTTATTAAATACTAGCACATTCGTGATAGGATCGCCACGGACATGCCATGGCACTCCCCCATATCCCACATGGGAAGAAGAGGATCAAGATGCACTAGCATTAGTTCTTTTCAGCAACATGTACTATACACGTACCTGTGGGTGTGTATATGTGCATCTTCGCAGTAATAGTAAGAATGACACAATTACCTACCCTCGTCATCAACATCAGCCACAGCCACAGCAGCAGCAATAACAGCAGCAAGAAGGAGCAGGTGGGTGTTTCTCGAAGCACCTGGTGTTTTCGAATCGCCGCGTACAAGAACAACGAGGTCTTTAGGCGCAGTAGGTATGGGGATGCGAGGAAATGACCGGTTTGGGTCGTCCGTATCGTACGTTTGCTGACGTCGTAGAACTGCGTGGCTCAGTTCCAAAATCATCTCCAGCAGTGTCTTTGCTTGTGCAAGCTGGTCTGAGGAGTTAGTATTACAGTACGTGGTTTGCACGCAAAGGGGGCTAATTTTTAGCCAACGTAAGATGATCTGATAGCTCCGCTTGTAGCGATCTGTCAGGAGGCCTGTCAATGATTATCGTTGACGCTACACAGGAAATGCCAAACTCGATCCCTAATAAGTTACAGGTCATTGACTGCATGAGATCATGCTTGAATTGAATTGATGCTTTGTCCATTATTGTTTTGAGCTTCTTTCATCATTATTTGTTTTGTCATCAACAACAGCGGCATGGAACAAAGCTAATCAGCATCCCGTGAAACAAATCGAAGCGGGAAATTACGTAGAGGGCGCAGAGCCTAGTCTTGTATGGACCAGGTCGGGCGGATTTGACAACACGAGCGTCAGAGGCGCCGTGCTGATATTATTTTGGGATGCGGACTCTGCAAGCTTAAAAACATTCCTCAGCCATGAACCGCAAGATCCTTGTGTTTAAAAAAAAAAATCAAAAAAAAAAAAAAAATCGAAGTGGAACAAGGATACTCCGTACTTGTTCCAAGTTTAGATAGCAAGGATTGAGAAAGGCGAATACGGCCGATCCATCCTCTGGAGCTTTTGTGCTACCTCACCTCCCATTAGTGCCATTCACACAAGGATCTGCAGCTTACCTCTTGGAGGTTTGTCTTTATGAAGAGCTTTTATGAACAGAGAGATGTACATAATAATAGTAGCCATGCTCTGTCTAGTAACGGAGTAACTCGAGTCTAAATTCTTTGTAAAGCCACAAGGGTCGCCCGGCCTGCATGCCAAGCAGCTCATTTAACTTAGCTCTGCTAGCTTTGGAGTGGACTCGAAGGCTGGTCAAACCAGAGCAGCCCCTGGACACTGGAGAGGCAGACGAGGACAAAAAGAGTCAGTCCCTTGCCAGCGACACTGCGGCCAATTGGTGGATGGCGAGGTCATCCTCCAACGACTGAATTCGTAGCTGGAGGAGCATCATCGTCTCGAGTCAAAATGGCCGGGTTCCGGGTTCTCACTGGCTGCGATTATCTTCTTATTCTTTCGCCTCCTTTTCGACAGAGGCCTTGTAAGGAATGGTGCATGTTTGTCAGTGATTGGGATATACTCCGTACGCTGCGTAGATGTCTGCCGCCGATCAACGAGAGCGTTGGTTGCTGGAACGGATCCACATAGGATGCCCCCGAAAAAAAAAACACACATTGTGCACTCTCTGTTCAGCAAAATCGTCGTAGCACTGCGTGCACTGCCAGAGGGACGCATGTATCTTGTGGATTATCAGCATGCCATCCTCGACTCCTGGTTAACTCCGGTGGAAGAAAGGATAACACGATCATGATTATGCTCAGTGACGCCGGGGAGTAAAATAACATACGACAACCCCCGAGCTCCGACCATTCCGCCTCATCCGCCCAGGGCTGGATATCGTATCCGGTATCGTAAATAACGACCCAAGCCCTCTTTCACGCCGAACCTGCCGTGCACGGCCCAATCAGCGGCTGTCTTGCAGCTGGCCGGCGCAATACCAAAAATACCGCAGAACCTCATCCTCGTCCCGTGCCAGCCACGGCCTCTGTTCTCGCTCAGCTTCGACTTCATCTTTTTCTCTCCCTCTTCTCTCCTTTCTTCTCTCCTCCATGTGGTCTCTCTCCGTCGCTTCCTTTCCTCCCATCCTTTGACCGTCAGTGGCCTGCTGTGCTGCTCTCCTTCTTCCCCTCAGACCCAGTCAATACGAGGTCAACCTCTCCTCCTGATGTCGATTGTTTGGTGACACTGCGACCCTCACTTCCTTGAAGCTCCCGCCGTCTGAAACCCCGGCGCTAGCACTCCCTCACAAGCTGTTGATACTCCTTCCTACGCTTGCCTGATTGTCGTCTGCCTTCTGCCTCGTTTTTATAAACGTCGTAGATCGCTCTCCACATCCCTTTTCGCCCGCCGACTTACCTGGTCACTGCTCTCCTCTACTCCTCCCGACCGATTGCTTCGCTCCATAATGGCCGGCGTTATGAACCCAGTGATCCCCTCGTGGAAGGATAATTCGCAAAATTATCTCGGCAAAGTCCAGGTCGTAATACCATGGCGATCTATACAAATGCTTCTCCCCCATCGCGTGCGCCGAAAACTGCGGTCAAAACTGCGAAGTCGCGTCTCTCCGTCATCAACAATAACCTCCCTTAATTCCTCCTTTTCCCCTTTCGACACCCTGAAGACTCTACAAGCTCATCGGTGGAGCGTATATGATGGACAATATCTCGTACTGCTCTTTGTTGGCATATTTTCGCTCTGCGTTATCGAATCGCCTGGCCCCTTCGCCAAAGCTCTGGTTGCCTTTGGGTTGATAACGTCGCTACTTCTTCCAGCCACCTGCCAATTCTTCCTACCATTTCTCCCTATAATTGCTTGGCTCATCTATTTCTATGCCTGCCAGTATGTTCCCCCCCCCTCCCATCTCATTCCTTGGATACTTTTTCGTATCGTTGAAGCGGCGATCGAGCGCGTCATAGCTGACATCTCACGATTTCACCCCTTCCAAACAGATTTATTCCAAGCGACTGGCGGCCCCCAATATGGGTGCGCGTGCTTCCAGCACTTGAAAATATCTTCTACGGTGCCAATCTCAGCAATATTCTCTCTGCCCGTCAGAATACTTTTCTAGACGTCTTGGCCTGGGTTCCATACGGAATTATGCACTATGCAGCTCCAGCTATATGCTCCATTATAATATTCATTTTCGGACCCCCCGGGATGACCCCAATTTTTGCTCGCACCTTTGGATTCATGTGCATTACTGCGGTTACCATACAATTTTTATTCCCGTGCTCTCCTCCTTGGTACGAGAATCTGTATGGGTTGGCTCCTGCACACTACGGAATACCGGGGTCTCCTGGTGGCTTGGCCCGAATTGATGAACTTTTCGGTGTAGACATATATACGTCTGGCTTTACGGCATCGCCTGTACCATTTGGTGCCTTTCCCTCCCTGCATGCAGGGAACGCAACCCTCGAGTCTCTATTTTTGAGCCTTATTTTCCCCAGGCTTAAACCAGTTTTTATTCTCTATACTGCGTGGCTGTGGTGGTCCACGATGTATCTTTCACACCATTACGCGGTGGATCTAATAGGCGGTGGCTTTCTAGCCGCTGTCTCGTTTTACTTCGCAAAGTCAAGATTCATACCACGAGTCCAGGCTGATAAAACATTCCGGTGGGACTACGATTATGTGGAGGTTGGGGAATCGCCGATCGACCATGGTTATGACTTAGCAAACTTCCACGGTGATTTGCATATCGATTCTGACGAATGGACCGTAGGATCGTCTTCCTCCATATCTTCCGGTTCCCTCAGCCCTGTGGATGAAGCTCAATCCCTGTGGGATGGCGAGACCCTAGGTGCAAACTCAGACCTTGAAGCAGGTCGCTGATTCAAATCACGCTTCGATCATCCCCTTTCCGAAAAATAACCCCATTAATACTTGGCAACGCCCCTCCTTGTCAATAAAACCAGCATTTTGAAGTAATAGCGGAATTTTTAATTAATGACTCACGGCATATTCTGGAGCCTTCTGTTTCAGCTTTGAGCGACTTCTTTTCGAAAGACATAACTTTTAATGACTTTGGATACCTTTTCTTCTTCCCCCCCCCCCCCCCCTCTTTATCTTCTCTTCTCAACGACTCCTGCGATTCTATTTTGCCATTCAGCCTATATAATGGTCTCCCCGGATGTCTCTACCCCTTCCGAATTTAATCGATCACGTGTTCAACTTCTTGAAGGCAGTCGATGGGGAAAACGATGTATCTTTTTTCCTTCGTTTTCCAATAAATAATATACCGCTGGTTCCTTCTGGGCATAAAAGCCAATCTCCTTTAGGGTCCTCGATATTCGCATATCCATTATCCAGTGCCCACACATTATAATCGGAGAGAAAGGGCTTCCGCATACGGATTCAGAAATCCACCATCTTGCGGCACCACCGATCTGGGAGCCATTCCATCTTTATTTGAGGGGATATAAATATATTTTCTTCATAGCAGCATGCGGTATAATTTTCAAATAGCTGTTAAGGTGGATTTGGCGAAGGCTTTTCATCACCCGCATATCTCTTCGTTTTCCTTGCAACAGCGCTTTGACATTTATCCGGACACCATCCACACAGGGAAAAACAATAATTGGGCTGGCGCAGGCTTGTACATTTTTAATTTTTTTCTTTTTTATTTTCCCTTTGTCATTAAACCTTTCATTACGTTCGTTACGCTCATGGGTGTTGTCGGATGGGGCTTTGTACTGTACAGACTAGAGTCGGGTTGGCATGGCGGGTTGGCGGAAAAGAGAGAGCTTATTATAGTTCCTTGAATGAATCTTTTCCCCCGCAATATATTTTGTTTGTATCTTTCTTTTATTATCATTCGTTTGCATCAGCCATGAGCATATATAGAGATGTTTTAAACCCGTTTTGCCTCTTTTCATTGTGATATCTATCTATTTGAGGTAATTCTTTTTTTCTTTTAGTCCTACCTACAGGTTCCGCTCTCCGACCTCAACTAGGGGGTAAACCTTCGTTTTTTTATGGCTTTGTTTTTCTTCTTGTTGTCAGTTGTTTCGTCAGGGGCTGTTGTTTGGCTACCTCCCCGACAGCAGCATCAATGCAGGATTTCTTTTTTGCATTTTTGTTCTTCTTTTTCCATGGTCTTTCCAGTGTGATTTTCCATGACAAGCAAGCAGGTTTCTAATCGGCAATTCAGGGCAATGAACAGTCAGTTGAATGTCTTTTTCCTGGTCGGGGGGCGTGCGGCGGAAGAGGGCTGGCTCCGTTTGTTATTTCTCCTTTTCTTTCCCCCTCCATCTTGTGTGTGTATTTTCGCATCGACATCGGCAACACGGTTTTGTCAAAAGATAATGATGTCATGGGAGGTATTCCAGGAAGATATAGTTTTCATTTATATTTTTTATTTCCCCCCCCCCCCCCCCCTCCAAAGCTCGGGGGATGGGGCGGGATGGGAACGAGCCGCAGGTAAACCAGACAATCTGCATCTCCGACTCTAGAAGAATTGAAAACAAAGAGATATATATATATATATATATATTTTTTTTTTTTTTTTTTTTTTTTTTTTTTTTTGCACGTGGGGCCTTATCCTACTGATGAACGATGATGCATATTAGGTGATGTTTCGGTTTCGTCTTGTTTTTGTCGCCTTTTGATTGATATTGGTGTCTCCATTCCCCTTTTTTTATATATATAACACGGCACCCATTAAACTAATAGTAATCAACTAATACTGACTCCATTTAGCTTATTTACTGCTTTGCTTGACTTATCCCACCATCTCCCCAGTCCCTCCTTCTTCATTCTGTCCTGTGAGGAAGGAGAAAGGTTCGGTTGGATGAGAGTATGATTTCGGAATATCTTCAAACGCTCGAGCGTCTTAAGATGATGGATGAGCATTCCTTCAAATATTGAGTTCCGAGATCCACACATACGTCTCATCCTTCATAATAAAGAGAATTGCTTCCACGCCTCCTGTCTGCTACTGATCCAATTAAGGTATCCAAAATCCCTGATTCCTCCTTCCTTCCTCCCCGTCCTAGATCATTGCGGCTCTCTGGACAAAATAGAGTGTCAAAAAATGTTAACTTTCCACATTTTTTTGTGCCATGAAGATATAAGCCAAACTGCAACGCCAACCAAGTAATAAGTACGGCGCGTAATTATAAAAGTCGTTAATTGCTAACCAGGCCGTCTATAAACGTAAAGGGGAATTCGAGTGCAGAGAGGTGACACGAAACTGCAGAAGGACAGAAAGCTCAAAGGCGCAAAATGCTGTTCGTTGTCAAACGATGCAGGATGTACAGGAAAGACATGTTATACCAAAGAAATACAACAGGTACAACAGGTACAACAGGGTGTTATATACGACGTAATCCCCCCCCCCCCCCAAAAAAAAAAAAAAAAAGGAGATAATACATTCCAGGGCCACGCTCCTACAGAGCAAAGCAGGCAGGAAATAACAAGAAAGGAAACGATAGGGAGGAAGCGGATTTAGGCAAAAACAATAGGGAATTCGTATTTACACATGACCAATGATATTTTTACTTCTTCTTCATTCTTCTTCATAGATCTTGACCCGATCGGAATATTCTCTTATTCGTGACACGTAGTTCTCTTCGATCATGTCGCCTCTCCCACCTGCGACACGAAGGACTAGGTCATTGAGCAAGGACCGTCCGAGAATATCGACATGGTCGCCTAAATGTATCGTGTCAGGTAATAAGCGTGGAAGGCTACAAAAACATACTGGAGAAAAATGAGCGAATGGATCCTCAAATAACGTACCGGTATTAGGACCTCCTCGAGGCGAGAAACGATCAGGCTCATGAGGCATCTCATACACTTTGACATTCGCACCAGCGGGGTTATATCGTTTAATCCCCCAACCTTTCGCGCACATATATCCCAAACTCAGCAAGTTGACAGTACCGTCTCCCTCGCTCATAACCACTCCACGGTCCACTATCCCGTTTGTCACCGTCGTATCGATGCTGAAATTGAGCTTCGATACCATGTCGGTATCATGGTGGTAAAAGTAGCTGCGCTCTGTAGGCTTGCCAACTCCATAGAAACAATATATCTTCAGGTTTGGGGCAAGGGGTAAGCGTGCTTCCAGCGGGTTTAGCCACTTGCGCGGATCCTTTTCGTTCGCTTCGACCTCCCTCGCCGTATGTGCGACACCGTGTGAATAGTTCCGGAGGACCTGGTTTTGGAACCACTGCTCCGTGTGATTGAAGAGAAATGGCAGGCTCGTCTTAGCAGTAAGGTTCTGTTGGGTGTTCGACGAATTTGCCTCCCTGAAATTGATCAGGTTGCCAAACGTAAAGGGTTGATCTTCTTGGTCATCTGGAGCCCAGGAATTGTTTCCCCAGACGGCCTCTCCGCCTTTCGGGAGCATGCTTGATATTCCAGGTATTGCGCGGAAAAGCTCAGCTCTCTCCCATTTGCAAAGGAATTTTTCGAGCCCGTATACAGCGAAGGCATTGAGTTGTGCAGTGTCTTTCATTTCTCCTGACAGAAGAGCCGGAACTCCCTTTGAAGCCCCTAGCATACAGCCGCTGATATTGATCCACGAATCGATGTGCGTCTCTACCCAGTCAGATCCCCCGTTTCCATGTTCCGGACTCTCAACCCATTTGAAGAAAAACATGGCAACTTGCGAGCCCATGCTATGCGAAACAAGAACGACCTTCCTATCCGAGAGCTTCACGGCCGTCTCGATGTATGCCTTGAGTCTACTAAAATAGTGATCGCGCGTTTCGAGGTTGAGATAGGAAAGCCGCCAGTCATAGGCAGCGGTGAAAGCATTAGTCGGATCATAACCAATCGTCGCAAGGTTTTCCAAAATTTTGTTCCAAATCCAGTAACCCGTAATGAAGAAGTCCGTTGCATCAAAACCCTGCGCCGCCCGGAGTTTAATACCAGGGGGATCCAAGCCCGTGATCTTATCGAGCATAATGTGATTTTTCCAGCCAGTTTTGTCGAGGACGAGGGCTCGCATCATACTCCAACTTCCCCATAACCTTTTTCTAAAATATGGTCTCGACTTTTCGTCCGTTCCCCAACTCTCTAGCCCTGTGGATATGACCCCAGGAACCATAATGATCGGGTGATTTGCTGTGATGCCCTGAGCCTGAAGGCCGAGGCCGATCGAGAAGGCATCATAGCTAACAGCTGTGCGTTCCGTTTGCTAGACAAAGAAAATTGAAATAGATTATAAGTTAGCTCTAGTTTCGACGGAGGTTTTCAAATGGTAGCCAAAGCAATAAATGATCCCGGAGGCTCTTAAACATACCGAAAATTGGCTTGCATCTCTGATAATGCCTGCAGGCATAACATCGATCAAGGAATCCAAATCTTATAGTCCATCAGGGCATCCAATGTAATAACCTCATTATGATTTGCGAAAAATAAAGCCAAGAATATTCCAAAAACGCCTCCGAGTCCAAATATCAGCCCATTTCGCCGTTTACTCCTCCGCCTCACGGGGATTTGGTGCACCTTCAAGCCCGTGTCAAAATGAGGCTGGTCTCCACCCTTGCGTACCGAAAGAGTAGCACTACTGCTGCCTTCGTCTGGGGTATCTGCCGTGGATTCGGTGGATGGAGAGCTAGGGTTAGAGGCCGAGAAGATGTACCCAAATCGACGGCGAAGGCCTGACATCGCGGAGAATTGACAAGACCTGTTTCCGCTGTTGCTTCAGAGGCTTGTATATATGTAAGATGTCGTCGACTGGGCTAACATGCCCGTCATAGCAGGCGGAGTATCACATGGGGCAGTGTGGAAAGAGCTGCGAGGCGGAGACAGCAGCTTGTTTTCCTTAGCTTATTTTTCTTTGGGGGGCAACCTTGGAATCCCGGGCAAACATTCCCCGCTATATATTATTTAATCTAGCCCAGACTGCCGAAGATACGGGTTTTTCTACTACTTACATGGGAGTGCTAATTGAGCGGATGGTCTGACACTCTTATGCAGGGAAGAAAACTAGCAAGGAGAGCTGCTCGTGAAATCGCAACATCATGGCCGACGATGCGGCATCCCATCTCCGCTATATCCAGTATGAAAGTGACAAGGAAAACGAATATGTCTCCGCAATGCGCCAATTGATATCCAAAGACCTTTCAGAGCCCTACAACATCTATGTCTACCGCTATTTCCTCTACCAGTGGGGGGACCTCTGCTATATGGTAAATCCTAGGTTTCTTTTTGATATACCCAGCCCGCGCAGCCTGCCTCCCGCAAACGAATTCCCCGTAGCTAACCCTGTCTTGCTACATATACAGGCAATGGACGGCAAGGATAATCTGATTGGGGTTGTCATATCAAAACTTGAACCACATCGCGGTGGGCCTCTGCGCGGTTATATTGCTATGTTAGCTGTGCGAGAAGAATACAGAGGCCAAGGCATTGCCACGACGCTCGTACGTATGGCTATCGATGCCATGATTGCCAGAGACGCGGATGAGGTTTGCTATTGTTCCTCTTCCATTTTCTATCCCTCCCACAAACACACTTTCCTTCCTACTCCATTCGCGACTCATTCCGGGTAGCAGCTATGCCGGGATTTACCCCACCAGAACAAGCAAGCAATTAACCTCCGGTTTCTCCATATCTAGGTCGTCCTCGAAACAGAAACAAGCAACACTGCCGCCATGAAATTATACGAGCGTCTAGGGTTCCTACGCAGCAAACGACTCCACCGGTACTACCTCAATGGCAACTCTGCCTTCCGGCTTGTGCTGTATCTGAAAGAGGTGTGGGCCTCATTCGACCGCGTCGATCCGTACCGGTGTATCCGGATGGATTGCCCACCCAAGAAGGAGGGGAACTCCCAGGGGCATCACGTGTGTGATACCGCTTTACGATTCCAAAGGATCTGTGGGGAGTAAATCAAAGGAGAAAGCTTTGAACTACGCTACCCCATATAAGACTCACGAGAGTCCAATCGTGGATTCAAAAGACCTATGAGATGAGGATGACAGGACATCTCCTCAAGTTTTCCCTCGAAAACACGGTATCCATACCAGAATCTAGCATATCCCTGGAGTCCCAAACAGGCTGCGCCTGGGGTTGCCCCCATGGAGAAATCAGAAGACTTAGGGAAGGGAATTTCCCCTGAATACATAGAGGGCGGTTTTTTTTTTCTTTTTGTTTTCTTCTGAAATTGTTGAATCCCCCCCCCCCCCCCCCCCATGGTGAAGATCCTCACCAACAACGGTGAAAGCAATATTTAGGGATTTTAAATATGAATTTTAGATAGACAAGTTATGCCAAACCGCAAATCCCTCGCTTATTCAACCTCGCTTATTCAAAAGATGTAAACGCCGTAATCCCTTCCTAATATAATGGGAGATAGAGCTCTAATATGCAAAATATCTTCAAGGAACCCAGCCCAAATAATATCTATACAGTGCAGGATATGGATTGATGCACACTGATGCAAAACAATGTACTATGTTTACATCAGCACATACATTTGATCAGCTACTTTTGTACCCGAGTAAGTAACTTTAGGAAAAAATGAGAAATGGGATAAAAATATATCGAGGAAATGCGAGGGAGGAGAGAAGAACGATGATGTACATGAAAAGATATACATATGGTGTGGAAATGAAATATAAAATACAAGTTTATATACAAGGCAGGGGGTTGGCGCGGGCGATAGTAGAGCATTTAGATGTCACTCGCAAGGAACCTAGAGCCATCTCCACCTTTCCACTGTCTCGGTTTCATCTGTGACTCGGGCTTAGTACATTTTGCATCCGAAACACGGGTTCTATCTTGTGTTGGGGAACCTTGCTATGGCTTTGTTCCAGGCTCTACTCCCGGCCCTGGTCCCGTGCTGTTTGCTGTTTGCTGTTTCGACTCTCGCGTTAGCTCTTGTGGCTGCTGTTCCTGTTGTTTTTTTGGTTCATCCCCAACTTCACTCTCCCCAGTTCCGCGAAGGGAAAGATCATCCTTTTCCCTGTCCCTCTGAACCACCTTCTCATCCACAGGAATTTTGATGACATTTTTAACCACTTCCGCAATTGGCATATTTTCAGCATGGCCCCGTGCCCATCCCATGTCCAGCGCATGAGCTTCCCACATCATGTGGCTGAACGGCAGCTGCGGCTGATAACGCCACACTGCCTCAAAGTCCTTTTTGATGATCCAATGTGCAAGTTGCCGCTGCTGGCTCCTCAGCTCGCCAGCGGGTTGATACTCGATCAACAACGACATAACGTTATCTGTCCCCAGGAGCTCTTGGTCGGGAGTGGGTGGTGCGTTCTTAATCGTGTCAAAACGAGGTTCCAGATCAGACATATCAATTTTAATCCCAACAATCGCCTTGCCAGCTTTTCTAAACCAGTTTGCCTCGGACTCATTGCCAGGCGGAGTGACTGTGTTTCGGAGAAGAGAGTCGAAAACCATGTGTTTCATGCTGCTGCTTACGAGGCCCCAGAGACAGGCGTAGGTCCAAATGACACGGCAGGTGTTGTAGTACCTAGCCTCCCATGCGGCGCTGAAGAGAATTCGGACGGTTTCATTATTTACGGTGAGCCCAAGAAAGTGGTTGACAAGGTCTAGGTAAACAGCGATTGCTTCCGAGTATTGCTTTCTATTGCGATGCACCGCAACGCCATAATTCATGCACTGGACATCCAGTTTTATTTCCCGTTGTTTGCATATCTGGATAATGTCGTGAGCTGCGTCGGAATTGTGTAAGCGTACAGTTACGCCCAGCATAGGTTTTATTGAATCGGTACATATCCAACCCTGTCCGTATCTTTTATCCATCACTGCGAAATAATCTTTGACGGATTGACCACTGTCTAAATGTGACGCGAACGCGTCTGGAATGATCCGGTATATGAGTCGACGAAGGACACGCTCATCGTCCAGCAGTCCCTCTTTGCGCAGGCGCGCGACCACTTTCTGCCTGACATTGGATGACAGGATAGTGTCAACAAACGCCACCCACTCCAACCCATTCGGCTTAACACCGCAACGTTTCATCAGGGAGATGAGATAGCGAAATCTATCCAGGTCACAGTTCTTAGAACAACCTGCGAGCAAGGCGTTAAAAGTCCTAGTCGTCATCAAGTGTTCAAAATTCGGAAAAAGAGATAAAAGGACTGGCAGATATTGGGGGTATCGGTAGCAATAGAATATGACAGAGTTTACCGCTCTGGTAGACAAAAACTGCTTCGTGTGCGGGTTAGTGAAAAGTTCGCGGATTATATCAATAATCACGTCTCGGTTTAGCCGTCCATCCGGATACAGCAAGCTATGAACAGGGCTTGAAAATGAGAGGTTCGTAATTGATTCTAGATAGTCGCCAAACTTCTTGATAGTCCACTTTTTGGGTCTTCGGAAAACATCTGCCCGAATGGGATTCCTTGATCTTCTCCCTTTAGCAATCAACGGCAAATTGTGCGTCCAGACTGATCGGAGCTGTGGAACATCGATGTTGTGTTTTCGTTTCCAATCGTGAGCGGTCACAAAGGGGGGTAGCCAGTCGGGCACCCCACCTTCGGGAGTATGAGCTGTTTGGATATCCGCTCGAATCTCTTTCTCAGCCAGTCTAACGGCCTCCGGAGAACCTGTAAGAACGACCTTGCGCTTGAAATCCACAGAATCGCGTTCCCGTGGCAGTATGTGAACACGACACCCACTCAACACCCTGATGTCCCACACGTTCTCCCTCTCATCGCCAGCCAGAGCGACCACATCCGTTTCAGACAGGTATATGGTTTTCGCATACGCTGGTGCGGGCTTGTTCTCCGCATCGCGCCTTAGGGCCATGATCTCATTCATTATATCCATCCATTCCACATAGAGCTTGTTTTGCTTTAATGGCGGTTTACCAGACAGCTCACGTTCCAGTTGCTTCCGCCACCACTGCTCAGCGCGAACTTGCCGGACTACGCCAGAACTATTGGCTCCAATGGCATCAACTTCTTTGTATACATCCATAGATTGCGCAGAGCTTGGAGCGGACGAGGTGTCACTAACTGGGGAACGAGCATCGTCGACATTGGATGGTCCTACTTCTGTTTCCTCCGGCACCCCATCATTTTCATGATTCCCTGATTCGCCAAAATGTGAAGTCGAAACATTCGAAGTTGTCGGAGCAGCATTAGAAGCTGAAGGAGGTGCAGTATAATTTCTCAAGGTATGATGAGAACTTGACCTGGTGTGACTGTAGCAATTGGATGAAGGCGAATTATGCCGGTTATTGCCCACCGCTGAAGGGAGGCGCAAACATCGTACATATCTCTTTTGAGTCAGCGTGGGGAAGAACTCCCGCGGGTATAAGAAAGGTAGAAAAGGCTCATTGCGGCAAATGGTAACTGGCTCAACGGGAGCTTGAGAGGAAGACAACCGTCTTAAGCCATGACGGGTGCCCAAGAGCATTGGATTCAAAAGCACGGGTGTTCCCCAGCTTGCTGTTGTGGATTCGCGTGGAAATATCTATATCATAGCAAAGCTTTTCTGGGATATATTAGCGTTTCGTTCGTCTGAATCTTTCGGTTCTTTCGAGCGGGATAATTTTTTGGTCTTTCTTTTGACTTGTTTAACTGGCAGCTAAGAAAGTTGATTGGAAAGGCTAGCCCTAAACCACGTGATTAATTTAGCGTATTCGAAAATTCTGTCATTTCTTGGCAGTCAAAAACAACGCGTTGACACCATTTGAATCAATTATTGATTGAAATCAATTCTCATCATCTAAAGCCTCAATTTCTATACAAGTCTTATATGCTTTGATGCTCCATTGGTATCCTCCCTGCTCTG